GGACTTAAAATCTTCTTTTTACTTTTTTAGATTTTTAGTGTTTATCTTTGATGTTTTAAAAATTCGACATTGGTTAAACGCATAATATCAGACTTTGTAAATTTTCGTTGAGACTTTAATCAAACGCCATGTCTGTTTTCACAATTGAATTACCGATGTAGAACTACACTAAATAGATTATTGCCGCACTTGTACATTTAAACCACATAAACATTAGTATACGACATATATTATTCATTCACATCAAAAGGTGTAAAAAAAATAAATTAAAAGATGTGGTATAATGAGACCAAAAGATGTAGACTTTTACAACTATAGGTAGCCGTACGGCCTTCAACAATAAGCAAAACCTATACCGCATAGTAAGTTATAACAGGTCCTGAAATGAAACATGTAAAAATATTCAAACGAGTAAAACTAACGACCTTAATTATGCACAAAATAGTCAACGGAAAATAGATATAATATAGAGCAACTGTTACAAATGACAACCACTGAATTGCAGGCTCCTAACTTGGGGCAGGCACATACATCTGTCCCAAGTCAGGAGCTCTCGCCTCTGTTAGTCTTGTATGTTTTTTAATTTTAGTTCATTTATGTTTTTGAGTTTAGTATGACGTCCATTTTCACTGAACTAGTACACATTTTTATTTAGGGGCCAGCTGAGGCCCCCCTCCGGGTGCGGGATTTCTCGGTGCATTGAAGACCCATTGGTGGCCTTCGGTTGTTATCTGCTCTTTGGTCGGGTTGTTGTCTCTTTGACATATTCCCAATTTCCATTCTCATTTTTATATATAGTTACGGGGTTAAACATGTTAAAAGGCACCAACCCTTCGGGACTATGGTGCAACGTGACAACACAAGAACACACTACTCAAAACAATAAAAAATAAACTAATATGAGAAACAGCAATAAACGACAACAACTTAATTACAGGCTCCTAACTTGGAATAGACAAATATAGAATGTGGCGGGGTTAAACGTGTTTGCTAGAGCCAAACCCTCCCCCTTACTTTGGACAGCGTTGTAACAGAACAACATAAGAACAAACTATACAAATCACTCATAAGATCGATACAAAGTCTAAAAAAACACACAAAGTACAGATCTGTGTCTTTCTTTCTCTTTGATTGTTATCACTAGGATCATCATTATTATTATAATTATTATTATTATTATTATTATTATTATTATTATTACGGAACAATTGTATTGAAACTATATACTATTATTATTATTATTATTATTATTATTATTATTATTATCATTATAAAAATTATATTATTATTATGATTATTATTATTTTTATTATTATTATTATTATTATTATTATTATTATTATTATTATTATTATTATTATTATAATTATTATTATTATATGGACCAATTGTATTGAAACTATATACTATTATTATTATTATTATTATCATTATTATTATTATTATTATTATCATTATTATTGACCAATTGTATTGAAAATATATACTATTATTATTATTATTATTATTATTATTATTATTATTATAAAAATTATATTATTATTATGATTATTATTATTTTTATTATTATTATTATTATTATTATTATTATTATTATTATTATTATTATTATTATTATGGACCAATTGTATTTAAACTATATACTATTATTATTATTATTATTATTATTATTATTATTATTATTATTATAAAAAATATATTATTATTATGATTATGATTATTATTATTATGATTATTATTATTATTATTATTATTATTATTATTATTATTATTATTATTATTATTATTATTATTATTATGGACCAATTGTAGTGAAACTATACAATGATGTTAAGCACCATTGGCAGAAGATTTCGATTTGTGTCGCATCGTCAAATAGTCCTACCAGCAAGTCAAGAAGAAATATTCATATATATATATATTAGAATATATATATAAAATGAATTGTCCCCTAAAAAATAACAATTTTTGATATTCAAAAGATTTGGAAGGAGGTAATTTTAATTGTTAACTATCAACATCTTCCGAACAATTGGATACAAGAGCCTAACTTAATGCTCATAGTTTATCTACGGAAGCGTATATCGGTCACGCGTTATTAGTAATTCCCATGGGCCAATACGGTTTTGTTCCGTATTGGCCCCCGTATTGGCCTTGTCCGAAAAGCAATATTAACTCTTGGTTTATATCGACAGGACAACATCATCAGTATTGCGCATGCTGATTTATCCGTATTAGGGCTGATTTGCTCGTATCATTTAATAAATATAGATTATAACATGACATTTTTCATATCAGACCCCTTATCAGCCCTAGGTCATGATATCAGCCCGAGAGCCGACAGGCTCGAGGGATGATTTTGACCATGGGCTGATAAGGGGTCTGATATGAAAAATGACATGTTATGTTCTTTTTATCATATACTTCAGCAGAAGCCATACAGACATGAAAACTTGTTTAAAACTTTATAAAATTCATTTATTGTATTATTTCTTTTGCGTTTTTTCAATAATAATATATTTTCCTGTTTCCTAATATTCCTTCTGTTATTCTACTTAGCTTTGTTTTTCACTTAAATGTACCACTTTGGTTTATTTTCCGGAATTTGCAGAATGACGTCGAAATGCTTTGCGATTACGTTAAAGAAAGGGATGCGATAATAACCGGAAGCAGTTGATATAAACCGGAAACAGTTGATATATACCGGAAGCAGTTGATAACAAAATTCATATCACACGGCTAAGACAATTCTTCAAATTTATTGAATAAATATATGCATAAATTAGTTTTATCAAGGGGTACAAGTATACCATTATTTTCTACAAGTATATGATAAAAGATGTTATTATATACTTTGAGTAAATAACTTCTAATTTTTACAGTATGATAATAGCATTAAATTTACATGAATTCCGTATTTTCCGAAATGGTGTTTAGCGGGCTGATATGAAAAATTTATCACATGCCTTTCAGTAACGTTATCGCATGGCATTCCGACGTTACTCGGCGAATTCCGGAAAATACACCTCAATGATACGTTTTCAGTGAAAAAAACATAACAAAGTAGAGTACAAAACAATTATTAGGAAACAGGTATGTAAAACAAAAAAAAAAAACAAAAAAAAACAAATTATACAATAAATGTTTTTTTTCAAAGTTTCTAGCATAATTTAGAAAGTTACTTTACAAATGTTAACTTTTCCAACAGTGTTCATGTTTGTTGAAATTGGTTTTTTTTCGTCAATATAAAAATACATAATACATTTCACTGTTGTTGTTGTTTTTTTTCCTCTGTTGAGGCATACATATCGGATGTCTTACATTTGGCGTCCGACGTCCGTAAACTTTTATTTTTTTTAGCTTTTACTTGAGAATCACTTAAAAGAATCAATATATTAAACTGTTTTTTCTCCATTGTTGAAGCATATGATAAATAGATCATAACATGTCATTTTTCATATCAGATGTATTATCAGCCCTCGGTTACTATCAGCCCTCTAGCCTTCGGCTATGAGATATGAAAAATGACATGTTATAATCTGATAATAATATTGGACTATTATGTATATGTAAGCTAACGCTCGTACTTAATCATGAAGAAAGGGATTATCATGCTCTTACAAACTTAGAATATTGTAAAGTGCTCAAGGCTCAAATGATCTCTTGATTGGTTTTATTCAAGAATTTGTTTCATTATCAGTGCAATGTTTATAATTAATGGATGACTACCATTTTAGGCATTTCATTTATGTATTGGTCTTAGTAATGTAAAGACTTACTTTTGATTTGGGAAATTTTAATAAATTGTGTTTTAGACATTAGATGACACAACGTTACAATGAAATTGTAGAAGTTGTATAAGTTTCCTAATTGTGAGTATGATTGTAAATTATGTAATATTTTAGTGAGAAATTGTCTTATTGTTTATTTACAGTTCAATTTAATGAATTCAAAATCAGAGTTACAACTAAATTGTATTCCACGGCCAATTTTATTCCAGCTCTTTACATTAAATACTACTTAATTAACTAAAATTTAAATGTTGAAAGAAATTGCTTTTTATAGGAAATTCAAAAGTATGTACCGGTATTTCGAAAATGACTATTCTTACTAACTGCGAATACAGTAATCTTAGTTTTGAAAAGCGTAATACATGTCGCTAAAGATTTAGGTAATATTTAATTCTAATTTTTTGAAAGTTTTTGGTTTTGGTTTTTGTTTTTCTTCTTGATATTTTTTTTTTTTTTTTGTAATTTGAAAGTTCTAAATATTCACATAATAACTCAAAACTTTTTTTGATAATTTTTGTTTGTTTCAAAATTCAACTTTCAATCAATAATCCTTATAAATGTTCTTCGGGCAGTTGTAACTCATTTTATAGAAATTCTTTGTTTTGAACTGTAAATAGGCCTAAACAAAAGGATAATTCCTTACTAAGAACATGATTTACATTCATTCTTCACACCAAATTCTACACTTTCATTGGTCGAGAGCACTTTGCTATATTCTAAAAAAACGATTATGCCATTATTAATTATAATGTTGCTTTAGTTTTCATTGGGTATTACTTTATAATATTAAAAACAATTTAATTAAACTGTCGATATTATTATAATTGTAAACTTGTGTTATTTTATGAGAATTCATGCTTGATAAAATGATAATATTGGACTTAAATAACACAAGTTTACAATTACAATGATATCGACAGTTTAATTAATTTGTTTTTAATATTATAAAGTAACACCCAAAGAAAACTAAAGCAACATTATAATTAATAATGACATAATCGTTATATAATAGTCCTATATCATCATCTTATAAAGCATTAATTCTCATAAAATAACACAAGTTTACGTCGAAATTACTAAGAACGCGTGACCTATATACGCTTCCGTATTTATCTCTTAATTAAGTGTTATTGATTAGGTCTGTATGACTGTTTTGCAACAAAATTTATGGTTGTTGTGCTTTAATCGCATTTAAAAAGAAAGACTTACCAGATTTTTGAAATAGTGGTTATTTACAATTTACTTCGCAAACATGATGAATTCAAGTTAATACATTTACATAGTATCCATTGTTAATTTGTTATGGTAGAATTGACGACTAAACATTACAAAAGGATTGTTGTGCTCATGGATCTAGTATTTATACAAAAGAAAGTCACGAGTGCATGCATTTTAATAAAATTTAAATAGCACATGACATTATGCTTTGTCACTTCTTTACGAGACAGCTATCTGACGAAGGTTTTAATTTCAAAGATGACTTAGCTATAATGGTAATATAATGTTGTTCCGCGTTTCAATTTGCTGTTTTTGGTTTTGACTGGGTGATCAAACTCTGTATATCTCCTATTGTATTTTTTAAAATATTGTAAAGTTTTCGTCAACTGTTATCATTCACCCGAATAACAGTTTGTTTTTATGAATAAATTTGAAATTCTTAAAAAAAAGATTAAATGGTTGTTTTGGGTATATGTAAATCACCTAGAGGTCAATATACGGTCTTAAACAATACACGATTGTGTACACAGTACTGACTAGTCCGAGATTACTCTGACGTCCAACGGCTGTTTTGCCAGACAAGCTGGGGCCGTGGGACGTCAGAGCTCGTCCCATATCAAAAAGTGGATATTTGCCCGTCCAAAATAGATGCGCTGCTTCGTCGCTTCTGGTGCCAACGGACGGCCTTTGAATTATATAAATCGGGTATCAATTTGTTCATTTTTCATTTATCTCTTCATTTATTTAAGTTTCACCTACCTGCCACCCTTTATTTTCTCATATTTAGACAGTTTTCACAGTGACCCATCGATTCAGACATTTTTACTTTTATTTTCAAATGTTACGAGAGATTTTGCGACCTCGAGACTCAAATATGCAAATATTTATACTTTTTTCACCTCCTTAATAGGAGATCGATATTTAACATGTAGTGGCCAACCACGATTTTTCACCTCCTTTACAGGAGATCGGTATTTAGCATTTAGTGCCAACCACGATAACATTCGGAAGCTCTCGGATATTTACATTGCTTGCATCGTAAATGAGCGAGGTGTTAGATTATATATTCATATTGACCTAGGGTCATATGCATACATCATTTCCCATAGTCCATTGTGCCTTACTTTTTTCTCGTGATCACATGACAATCTTTCAAAATGAAAGTCAAAATGCCAGAAACGTTGGGTCACTGTGAAAACTGTCTAAATATGAGAAAATAAAATGTGGCAGGTAGGTGAAACTTACATAAATGAAGAGATAAATGAAAAATGAACAAATTGATACCTGATTTATATAATTCCAAGGCCGTCCGTTGGCACCAGAAGTGACGAAGCAGCGCATCTATTTTGGACGGGCAAATATCCACTTTTTGATATGGGACGAGCTCTGACGTCCCACGGCCCCAGCTTGTCTGGCAAAACAGCCGTTGGACGTCAGAGTAATCTCGGACTAAGTACTGACATGTTTAAATTGCTGCGTGTCTTTAAATAATGCAGTCAACATTCAAAAATAACTATACATGAGATGTTTCTCACTTGTAAGATGAACAGTATAAAATGAGAAGGGTATTTATGACACAAATATTTTTATTTCCGAAAACAATATAATTATTTTAAGGTAGCTCTTTATAAGCAATATATATACACACCGACAAACTTGCTGGGATAATTTGCGGAAGACGTCACAATTGTCAGCCAGCGACATTGCGCCAACATTGATATAAAAAGAAGATGGGGTATGATTGCCAATGAAACAACTCTCCACAAGAGACCAAATGACACAGAAATTAACAACTATAGGTCACCGTACGGCCTTCAACAATGAGCAAAACCCATACCGCATAGTCAGCTATAATTGAGGTTACCAAGAGAGACGCAATGTTAGAAAAAATTGCGTTTTATCTTCTAATCCTGTACGATGACATATATTCTTTATTTGACATTTGGCGAATGTATGACAAAAGCAGTTTATGTAGAAAAATGAGAAAAATAGCATTTAATAAGAACCTCTCGATTTCCACATTTTAAGGTAAAACATATATCCCACTTCGGGCATCTTATCCGTTATTTTGAGCATGGCTTCAATAATTAACTAGTCATTCTTGTATGGATTTATTTCCCACTTATTTTATCTGCTTCAAAATGTTTATATTTTTCCTTACAAATTTGCACAAATCACCAATTTTCAGCCTCAACTTTCTCGAAAATGTTTTATTTGGTGATTTGTTTTATGATACGCCAAGGCCTGCATCATATTTCAAAATTATAAAAATTACAATACAACGTGAAACTATATCATGTATATCGGATGTCCTTAACAGTATAAAACTAGTATGGACATATATTCAATACCGTCCGCCCATCATTAACCTCTACACTGTATTTTCAAAAACAAAAGAAAATTAAAAGATATCGAGAAATAATTCAAAGGGGATAATCAAAGTATAAATCGACGAAAATCAGACAACACAACGGTAAGGTCAAATAAAAAAAAAAACACGAGGAAACAAACAAGTATTAATAAATCATATATTTTCTAAAAATATGACTCACTGTTTATATCCTGAAAACATGGACTTAAAATCTTCCTTTTACTTTTTTAGATTTTTAGTGTTTATCTTTGATGTTTTAAAAATTCGACATTGGTTAAACGCATAATATCAGACTTTGTAAATTTTCGTTGAGACTTTAATCAAACGCCATGTCTGTTTTCACAATTGAATTACCGATGTAGAACTACACTAAATAGATTATTGCCGCACTTGTACATTTAAACCACATAAACATTAGTATACGACATATATTATTCATTCACATCAAAAGGTGTAAAAAAAATAAATTAAAAGATGTGGTATAATGAGACCAAAAGATGTAGACTTTTACAACTATAGGTAGCCGTACGGCCTTCAACAATAAGCAAAACCTATACCGCATAGTAAGTTATAACAGGTCCTGAAATGAAACATGTAAAAATATTCAAACGAGTAAAACTAACGACCTTAATTATGCACAAAATAGTCAACGGAAAATAGATATAATATAGAGCAACTGTTACAAATGACAACCACTGAATTGCAGGCTCCTAACTTGGGGCAGGCACATACATCTGTCCCAAGTCAGGAGCTCTCGCCTCTGTTAGTCTTGTATGTTTTTTAATTTTAGTTCATTTATGTTTTTGAGTTTAGTATGACGTCCATTTTCACTGAACTAGTACACATTTTTATTTAGGGGCCAGCTGAGGCCCCCCTCCGGGTGCGGGATTTCTCGGTGCATTGAAGACCCATTGGTGGCCTTCGGTTGTTATCTGCTCTTTGGTCGGGTTGTTGTTTCTTTGACATATTCCCAATTTCCATTCTCATTTTTATATATAGTTACGGGGTTAAACATGTTAAAAGGCACCAACCCTTCGGGACTATGGTGCAACGTGACAACACAAGAACACACTACTCAAAACAATAAAAAATAAACTAATATGAGAAACAGCAATAAACGACAACAACTTAATTACAGGCTCCTAACTTGGAATAGACAAATATAGAATGTGGCGGGGTTAAACGTGTTTGCTAGAGCCAAACCCTCCCCCTTACTTTGGACAGCGTTGTAACAGAACAACATAAGAACAAACTATACAAATCACTCATAAGATCGATACAAAGTCTAAAAAAACACACAAAGTACAGATCTGTGTCTTTCTTTCTCTTTGATTGTTATCACTAGGATCATCATTATTATTATAATTATTATTATTATTATTATTATTATTATTATTATTATTACGGAACAATTGTATTGAAACTATATACTATTATTATTATTATTATTATTATTATTATTATTATCATTATAAAAATTATATTATTATTATGATTATTATTATTTTTATTATTATTATTATTATTATTATTATTATTATTATTATTATTATTATTATTATAATTATTATTATTATATGGACCAATTGTATTGAAACTATATACTATTATTATTATTATTATTATCATTATTATTATTATTATTATTATCATTATTATTGACCAATTGTATTGAAAATATATACTATTATTATTATTATTATTATTATTATTATTATTATTATTATTATAAAAATTATATTATTATTATGATTATTATTATTTTTATTATTATTATTATTATTATTATTATTATTATTATTATTATTATGGACCAATTGTATTGAAACTATATACTATTATTATTATTATTATTATTATTATTATTATTATTATTATAAAAAATATATTATTATTATGATTATGATTATTATTATTATGATTATTATTATTATTATTATTATTATTATTATTATTATTATTATTATTATTATTATTATTATTATTATTATTATGGACCAATTGTAGTGAAACTATACAATGATGTTAAGCACCATTGGCAGAAGATTTCGATTTGTGTCGCATCGTCAAATAGTCCTACCAGCAAGTCAAGAAGAAATATTCATATATATATATATTAGAATATATATATAAAATGAATTGTCCCCTAAAAAATAACAATTTTTGATATTCAAAAGATTTGGAAGGAGGTAATTTTAATTGTAAACTATCAACATCTTCCGAACAATTGGATACAAGAGCCTAACTTAATGCTCTTAGTTTATCTACGGAAGCGTATATCGGTCACGCGTTATTAGTAATTCCCATGGGCCAATACGGTTTTGTTCCGTATTGGCCCCCGTATTGGCCTTGTCCGAAAAGCAATATTAACTCTTGGTTTATATCGACAGGACAACATCATCAGTATTGCGCATGCTGATTTATCCGTATTAGGGCTGATTTGCTCGTATCATTTAATAAATATAGATTATAACATGACATTTTTCATATCAGACCCCTTATCAGCCCTAGGTCATGATATCAGCCCGAGAGCCGACAGGCTCGAGGGATGATTTTGACCATGGGCTGATAAGGGGTCTGATATGAAAAATGACATGTTATGTTCTTTTTATCATATACTTCAGCAGAAGCCATACAGACATGAAAACTTGTTTAAAACTTTATAAAATTCATTTATTGTATTATTTCTTTTGCGTTTTTTCAATAATAATATATTTTCCTGTTTCCTAATATTCCTTCTG